ATACATTGTAAGTGGCACCTCCACCCCTCAAAAGTGAACAGGTTAAATAGATCAGATAGTCAAAAGTTAGGAGAAAAGAACATAGGATCAGAGGAAAGTAAAAGGTCCCTGTGCTAAAGGCAGGATCATCCCTGACTAAATCATCCCAAGGCAAGTGTCAGTCAAGAGGAAGCTCATGAGCATGGAAGCAGTGGTCTCCATCTTCCCACCCCTTGGGGTTCATGGCTTGGCTTCTCCTGCTGCTGGAGCAGGTACCTTTTTGCCTGATGCCAGGGCTTCATGCCTGTTTTCCAGCTGGACAGCTGAAGAAGAGGAGTGCTGTCTGTCACCAGAGGTGATAAGCTGCCAGCTTCTGCCTTCCTGAGTATGTCTTCTGTGTCTTCAAATGCCTGCTCTGGCTTCCCTCTTCCAGGATGTGGGAAGTTTTTTTATGCATTGAGTTAATGAAGGCCTATGTCCATGGATGTTTCTGAGCATATTCATTTTTTCCTGCTGCTGCCTTATCTGATTCTATGAATAAGTTGTATTGTTCTTTCTCTTTGCAGGGTCTAAATGACTTGTTCAAAAAGCATGATGGAAAGCTGTAAGATAGCTGAGAGCAGATTTCCCAAAAGCCAGTCTAGTACTTAACTAAAAGCCCATCCTTTGATTTATTTTGTGCATTTCTGGTGCTTTATGAGAACTTGCTTATCCTGCATGAGATGATGGACTAGAAACATGAAGTATATATGCAGTGTACTTCTGGCTATATCAATATTAGTGGCTACTGGCTACCTATGAATAGTAGAATGACTAAAAAAATTAGGATTCTCTGATTAATGTTGCTGTTGTTATTTATTATTATATTGTTATATAACAGCTCCTATTCCTCTGCCACCCTTCCCCCCAAAGACCATCATCTACTTTTTTACAGAAAATATTGAAAAGCATATGAAACAGCAGTAAGCTTTAAGTAACAGCCCATTTCCTAGTCTGTGCAATTTGCAATTCCTTTATAATCCTACAAGAGAAGCACTAACAGCTGATTGAGACTCCAAGTGCCGCAGGTAACAGGAACGACGATCAGTCATTGAGAGTATAGTATTTCAGGTTTGGCTGGGATTCTTCAGATTATAAGCCAAATGTTAAATGTACTCTAAATGAATGACTAAACACTAAACTGCTCTCTGGCAGTCATCCTAAATATAGAGAGCCTTTACCGCTGTGAGTGCTTGAAGCCATCGTATTATCCAAACTTCTGCATTCAAACTCTAACACTTTACCCAATTAAATGTATAAAGAATGTCTGTATATTGCCAACTACCAAGCAAACCAAAGTGTTCCTTTATACCTATCTTAGCATTCTGTTTAAAATCTTCCCTAATATCTGCTCTCCTCTTCTGTTTAACATAATTGTGTCCCATAGTGCAATCCCAACTAGTTTTTCTTTCAGTGTCCCATTATACTTCACTGAATATTAGGCCCTGTATCACATCTAATTTCTCTCTGATAGTCTAAAACTGGCATCTGTGAGGTTCAGAGAGAGTTTAATTCCCTTTCAAGTCGATTGGAGTTGAAGCTACTCCAGCAGTTTACAGGGTCAGTCCTAATGAAGCTTTTCCTTTTTAAAATACCTAGTATTTCCCTGTCTAATGTAAAGTGTGATCTTAACTGCATCACTGTTCATTGTACAACCCTTCATCTAGATCCATAATCAAATCTTCTGAAATAGCTCCACACTATTAAATGCATACAATTCCTCTTGTATCTAATGTATTTATCACTCCCTTCATATATGTATCTATTTTCATTTTTCTCTATTTGGAATACTGTTTTTTTGCAGATAGTTGCTTGTTATGGAATGATTTGGATTGGTAAAAATTAGGGGTACACCAATAAAATTTTTTTGGTTGATGGCCAATTATTAACCAGCCATATCAGCCTATACTGATTCGATAGCCAATATGGAGCTTCGCAGCTTGGAAAGCAGCATCTGGACAGTAAGTCTCTGTGGGGGGATGAGGTGTAGGGGAGGGAAGGGGAGTAAGGAGACTTATTGAGGTCCCCACAGTAAGGGAGGGAGAGGAGCAGAGGCAGGTGCTGCCCGGCCAGGATGGTGAATGGGCCCCCGAGGTGATCTTGGCGTGGAGCTGCAGGCAACTCATCCAGAGGGTGTGGGAATGGAGGGTGGTTCCCTGCTGCTGCACACATTCCCAGGGGAGGCATGGGGGACATATGCCCCCTGGATTTGTCCATGGGGCAAGAGTGGGCTGCCCACTGTGGGCTTGGGGCCAGCGGCTGCATCAGTCTCTTCCCAGTGGGGGGACTGGGTTGTGGCTGCACTCAGGGAAGGCAGGGGCAGGTGGCAGCACTGTGAGTGGGGGCTACAGAGAATTTTGGGGTGGATGTCACCCACCCCCATAGTCCACCTTCCCAGTGCCACCACTGCCTACACTGCCCCCACCTGCCTTAAGCACAGCCCTGGCCAACCCCCCTCTGGGAAAAGGCTGGCACAGCCCCTGGCTCTGAGCCTACAGCAGGCAGCCTGCCCCTCACCCTGCATACAAAACTGGGAGCCACATGCCCCCCATGCCTCCTCCAGGAGTCTGTACAGTGGTGGGGAGCTGCCCCCCTCCCCACCCACCTGTGCCATCCACACAAACTGCCTGTAGCTGTGCCTCACAACCTGCCCCAGGGACCCATTCACCACCCTGGCTGGGCAGCTCCTGCTCCTGGCCCAGCCCTACACCCTCCCTAATTGTGGGGGCTTCAATCTGCCTCCCATGCCCCTCCCCTCCCCCATGCCCTTTCCATCCCACAGACTTACTGGCCAGATGCTGCTCTACATGCTGCCAGGCTGTATGCCTGGCCGATATGCATGTCCCCTATCTTTGGTTTGAAGGGGCTGCTCTAAGTTACTTGAGTAACTTAGAGCAGCCTAATCACACAGTTCAGGAGCCAAGGATCTGTTTGCTAAGAATGAAGAGCTAAGAATCAATTCAGGAGCTAAGAGTAAGGTGTTTCCCTCTCTTTTGTGACATACTGCCTTATATTGAGGGGGCATGTGCTATAAAGCAACCAGACTCAACCAATGAAAAATTCTGGACTACTTGTTAAGGGTAAACACAGTGTCGTTTGCAATTCTGGGGCAAAGATTTGATTCCTAGCATTGATCAAGCTGTTACAGGGCATCACCATTGCTCAGGAAAAAGTTCTTACAGTCCAGGAAAACCAAGCATCAAAACCAGTGGCAAGTGTGACCTCTGTGGAAATGGACCCAGACTTGAAAACATTCATAAAACAACTTAAAAAAACCTTTAGCCTTTTTCTAGCACTTTCTGGCTAAGTACAGACATTCAGGAGGTTAAATCAGTTCAAAATAGCCCCCCGATTTAAACTTAGCTCCTCTTGGTGCCAACTTTACACTTACAGACCTGGTCTCAGTGACAGGCAATCAGTCTAAACCTGAAACTGAACAGAAGTTCCATGTACACAACAGGTCTAAAAATTGCAGAACCCAGTTTAAGATAAATCTTGATCTATGTAGTATCAGACTCGTTTGATTTAGGTCAAACTAGTGCAGGGAACTTCTGTCCTCTTCCTCTGTGTAGCCCCAGAGCTGGGAAAACCCAGCCACTGGCCCCAGTCCTCGGGCTTCTCTTTTTATTCCTCTCTTCCCCGACACTGATCAATTTCCAACCCCCACCCCCGGCACCTTACTCCCCCACAGCCTGTGCTCTCAACCCCCATCCCACAAGCTGCTCTGCATGCAGCCACTTTTATCAGCATTTGCTGCTGCCAGAGCCAAACAAGTAAGTCTTGGTGGTTGGAGGGATGGGGGTGTAAGTTTGCTGGGGGGGAACCGCACCCCACCCCACCCACAGGTTATGCCTGTTCCCCTACCTCTTGTGGGTGATACCTGCTCCTCCCACTCCACCCATGTGTTGCACCTTCCCCTCATCCCCCAGTGAACCCCCAATCCCCTCCAGCCTGCTGGACTTCCAACCTCTTAGCTAGCCAGGATGGCTTACCTGATATTGGGCAGCCATTCTGAATTGATTTAACCTCCTCCTAACACCCTCAAATATCTGTACTTAGCCTTTATGTTCCTAGTGCTATACAAACTAATATTAAGGTGGGTAACTATTATTATCCTCATTTAGGATAATACTGTAATAGCTAGGAAAGACTGAGTGACTTGAGGTTTTGAAGTGGGGTTAAAACTGAGGGGTCTCTTTTTCCCAATACTGTACTTTGATGACTCCTGTCTCTGACTTACTTTATGAAATTAGCTATTAAAATCTGGGTTGATGTCTCCATTAGATTAGCAACATTTAAGGCAGGTCCAGCCCTGCACATGAAATTTTGACAGCATCCTATTACACCGGTAGAAGTCATGTGCTGATCAGTGGGTTTGTTTTCAGTACCTTCTAGGCTATGTGACCTCACCTCTGATTTTTATTTTGTTTACTTTGTTGCAAAATTATTGCATCTACTTAAAGGTCAGCCAAAGTAAAATGAGATTTTGCTGGAGGTCAGATGTAAACAAATGTTTGATGTTGCCCTGTAATTTTTCTTAGATCTTTTGCAGAGATGGGTTGCTGTGTGCCAGTATTCATAAAAGAAATGTATATTTTAGAAGCTGTATTGCATTGGGCATAAATCATTTCAATGTGCCTGCAAACCTGGATTAATGGGTATCATGTTTGGGAGAACTAAAAATGTGGTTATTGTGTACATACTGAGTTAAGTTGTGTAAATACATTCATATACTGTGCATATTGTAATGTTTTGTTCAATGCCTTCTGTCACAGGGCACTAAGGTGTGCCTGCTCCTTCAAGAGGAGAGTCAGCTTAGCTATGGAGCCCTGAGAGCTAGGCACAGCTCCACAGCTGCAGGTTGCCTTGGCAGTAAGCTAATCATAGTATTAGCTGGCACCTGCGCCCGGTCAGCTGACCAGAAGGAAACAGGACCCTGGGCATATATAAGCCCCAGGGCTGGGGCTGGCAGGAGGGCAGTTCTCTGTCAGCAGCCAGGGGGAAGGAGCTCTTGCAGAAATGCTACTCAGAGACACTTGGTTGCCTATTCTGCTGCTGGTAAGACTAAAGGGCTCTAGGAGCTCTTAAACTATCTGGAGCTAGGAAGCACACATTGTTGAGGGAGAAGCTTGCCTCCTTAAAGGGGCAGGGTGTGACCTCCAATGTTATTGCTGTTGTTATGTTATAGCCCAGGGGCTTGTATTTATTCATAGATGTTAGGGTCGGAAGGGACCTCAATAGATCATCGAATCCGACCCCC